TTATTATTAACTTTTTTATGTTCCAAAATAAATATTTTTATGAAAATATAATTTAAATTTTTGATAATTTTAAATTGCACTTTTTAAAAACTAAAATAATAATAAAATTAAAATTAAAAATAATAAAAAATGTAGAAAAGAAAAATTTTATCCGATAATAGGATTCTAAGATAACTTGAGTAGTGATATTTAAGAAATCTTTAGGTGAGAAGTTTTTTTTTAAATATTAACAGTATGTTGAAGTATTTATAAAAAATTTTTAATACAATAAAAAATTTTCTTTTCTTCTAAAAGAAAAAAATTAATAAATAAATTTTTCTTTAAAAAATATAAATAAAATACGCACACTATTACTTCATTATTTGAATTGCATGCAAAACACCAGATCTTTGAAAAATAAACACGAGTTTTCAAGAATGAGATTCTAAGGTATTTCAAGTAGCGATGTCTAAGAAATCTCTAGGTGAAAAAAATTCTTTCAATGTTATCAACGTACTTGAACATTTTAAAAATTCTTTCAAAAATAATATTCAAATTTATTTTTCCCAATAAAAATAAAAAAATAATAAAAAAATTAAAAATCGTGATAAATAAAATAAGTCAATAAAATTATTTTTAAACATTAAAACTAAGACTATTTTTGTTAAGATTAAAACATAACATATAATTAATTGGTATTGTTTTAAATAGACACTATGGTGGTGTTAATCATTCCCACACGTAATCGACTCCTAGACCCAAACTATTTTGTAGGCCTTAAATTATTTTTTTAATAAATTTTAATAAATATTAAGATTTTATTAAAAAGATAAGTTTTAATAGGTAGCTAATTGCATCTAGCCAAAAAAAATTGGTGACAACTGCTATTATTTTTAAATTCATTTAAACGTTCTAAAACTGTTATAACATTTGGCAACTCCATTGGAGAAACAATTTTTTCGAGAGTTAGGCCAAAATTAAATAAATGATATCCTTAATTTTGATTTAAATGATCTTAATTTTGATTTAACTCTAATTTCTTTGATTTTAATTCTGTTTCTTTTTTAATAAAAATCAAAGATAAAAAATAATAAAAAAAGAAAAAAAATCACTTGCATTACATTTTAATGCCTTTGGTTCATTATTTATTTTATTTTTTTTGTACATATTACTCTTAATAAATTACAAGACATTTGCACTCACAATAACACTTTGCATTTCATGCATGAGTTCTATACTAGGACTTTGTTCTTTATAGGAGAAAGTAAAATATCTATGCTCTTATGAGGTGATAGCCTCTACAATGGTAAGCAAAGTACTTTCATTTAAATTAAACTTTTTCTGTTTATAGCTTGTAAGGATTGGGATACCTTAGTAGTCCATCGCGGATGATAGTGAGAAATAATTTGAGAACCTCTAGATATGTGTCGATCCAAACAAAGTGTATAATAAGCTGTAAGAAGCCAACCTTAGGTAAATACTTGCTCAACTGATTGTAGATGACCAAAATGTGTGGAAATAAAAAATCAGGTGTTAAAAAAAAAACTCACAAAAAAACATTTTTCCAATATCAAATCATATCCTTTCATTAACTTAATTTTGTTTTGTTTTCTTTTTCCTTTTGCATAAATCATATCATACAGTTCCACATTGAAGTATTGACTCTATGACACCTTTCTTCTGAGAATTTGTTTCATGGATCCTGTAGATCTGTAGATTTGCTCATCATTTGTGAATGTCCCATGGCTAGAGAGAGAGAAGACTGAAGGCTTTTAAAGAAAAGGCTGAGGAGTTAGCTTTTATACTAGTCCCAAACAACACTGTTTCTGAAAACCTAGGATCCATGTGAACTCGAATAGGATTTGCGAGTCACCCATGGATCAACCTGACCCAATCACATGTTTTTTTTTCTACTTTATTTTGATTTTTGCCATTTTGATTTTTTAAGTTTTTTTTTATTATTTATTTTATTCTACTGATTTTTTTAAATTGAGCATTTTATTATTCATTAAATATTTCTTTTTTATTATTTTATTTTTGAAAAACAGTTTAAAGAAAAATATATAAAAAAAAAGAATAAAATTTTCTCTTTTCAAATAAATTCATGAATCTTACCAAACTATTTGATGATTTTTTATGGATTTAAATTTTATGAATTCTATCAAACTATTAAAAACTTTTATAAATCAATTTTATAAAAAAATAATTATTAATAAAGTATTTTGTATTTTATCATACCAAACTATTGGAGGATTGCATCTTAAGTTAAATTTTATTAAACTATTGGAAGATTTAATGAATTTTCTCAAAAATAAAATTTTATAAATATTTTACAATAAAATCTCACCAAACTATTGAGAGATCTACATTAAAGTAAATCCTATCAAACTATTGAAGGATTTTACTGATTATTTTCTAAATAAAAGACGTTAATGAATTCGATGATAGAGCCGCTTCGGGGTGAGACACTAGTTTCCATGAATACTCTTGAGGTAAAAAAATTATCTTAAATTATAATCAAACTATTAGAGTAATCTTAAGATCAATTTTTAATAGTAAATATTTTGGTAAATTATAAACATGTTTAAGGCTTGGATAATTTGATATTAGACTGATACTATCTTTTAATTGACGCTATGAAGATGCAATAACCTTTCTTACATGTAACCATATTCCTAAACATAAAATATAGTTTCATGGATCAAAATATATTATTTAAAGATACCTAAGTTAATTTTGAGACTTTTCTTTAAATGGGACATTCGATCAAGTGATTAATCATACTTAAATAAAAAAATATTGGTGGTGACTCCTAAAAATTTTATCTAATAATAGATCAATGGATCTATACGTTATAACATTGTTACTAGAGTTTTTTAAATTTCAATGATGAAGAGATAATTTTTCAAATATAAATATAAAATATTTTATTTTTTAATGAATTGATTTAATAAAAACTATAAAAAGTTATTATATTAATTTCAAGGTAGTTTTGTAATTATTATTTATTTTTTATTAAATTAATATTAATAAAAATGTTAAGTTAAATATCTACACAATATTTAGAAATACAAATTTATGAATTAATCATTTAAAAAAATATTTATTTTTTATTACGTATTTAATTAAAATTATAGAAAAAGGAAAGTTCATAAAATATAATCAAATTAATTCAAACCTTTTTATATTAAATTTCATTTTGAAAGAAGAATTTCGTATTCAACTAACCATTGGATTTAAATGAAATAAAAAAGAACAAAAAGTCAAAAAATGTTATCCATTAATTAATTTTATCCATTAAATATAGAAAAAATCAATCTTTTCTTATCCATTAATTAATGATTTTCAAATAAATGTTTGAAAAAAAAATAAATCAACTTCAGTTGTGAAACCTTTTATATTCTCCTAACAACTTTATTTTAATATTTTCATATCTCATGAATTATTGATTAAAAAAATCTTTGGAAAAGAAAAAGAATATAAATCAATTTCATTTTGAAACAATAAAATGTAATTTTAATTTTCGTAATATTTGTAATACCAATTATTTATATTTTATAATTGTTATTTTTTTTTATTGTTTATTGGTTTATCGTTGACTTTTGATCTTGTTATTTTTGGATTTTGAACAATGAATGTACTCATTAATAATTAAGTGTTTCAGGTTTCTAAGACAATAAATATAAATATTAAAATTTTTTTAATAAATTATAAATTTAAATAAAATATACTCAAACCCAACCAACCTTCGCTAGGAAAAAAATACTATTGTTTTCAATTTAGTTGAAAGTCTTAATTATAAATTTAAATAAAATAGAAGCAAGAAGACTTCTTGTTTTTCCAATATTCAAACTGCTAAAATCAACAAAAACCCTGCTTTTGTTATGCTTTCTCATTGAGTGCATCGAAATTGAATGGAGCAAAAATCTTTCTCCATCATCCTTCCATAGACTTTTCATTTTCTTAATTAATTTTCTTTCCTACCAAGAAGAATTTTTTTTTTTCAATATTCAAACTGCTAAAATCAAGTGTCTCTATATATCTCACGTTTAATTTTTATTTTTGATTTTTTTATGATTATTTTATTTTAATTAGGCAAGCAAGATTAGTTGGATGTCACATGTCTCATTTTTTAATTAATTTTTTTATTTTTTAAAATATATATTTCACCTAACTAATCCTATTTGTATAGTTAAAATTTCATATTGACAATATATCAAATATTAATTCATTATAAATTATATAATAATTACTATAAATTCGATTACTTAGAATGTCAAAATTTACCATCATTATATATATTATCACATATATGAAATTGATAGGATGAATTTTTTTTGGTACTTTTCACATTTAAGAGATAGTTCAATAATTATATTGAAGTTTAAATACTTATATATATTTTTTAAATAAAAATTCATATTTTTATTAACTTGAAAATGTATAATTCTGTGATATATTTGTAAATTGTAAGTTATAAGAAAAAAATAAATTTATATTATTTTACTATTATATCTTTTGTATATTGAAATAAATATATTATTTAATAAATGATGGTTTAGATTTTATTTTTTTATTAACTCACTTGACACCAAACGTATGTTATGAGTCAACAATTTTGATTCTTTTCGCTTTCGCTTTTTTTTTTTTTTTAATTTATAGATTTTTCCTTTTTATTTGATAAATATTTTAATATTTTTTAACGTTGGACCCATTTGATATTTTATTAAAAATATATTTTTTTAGTTATTTTTTTCATTAACTTGAAAATGTATAATTCTGTGACATACATTTGTAAATTGTAAGTTATAAGAAAAAAAATTATAGTATTTTACTATTATATCTTTTGTAAATTGAGATAAATATAATAAAATTTAAAAAAGATGAATGAACTTGTAAATTTGTAACACTTGACTCGTACCTCTCTTCTCTTTTAATTTTGAATGAATTAATTTTATGAATGTGTGAAAATTAAATGACAATTTCTGTTATTTTATATTAAGGCTTAAAAAGTGGCAGTAAAGCAAATAAGAAACCTACAATATGCTACGAGCTGGCAACAAAATTAGTTCCCGGAAGTCTTTGTCTTCAAGGCGGCCAATTCCATATTTTGTTAGGACTTAGGGACGAGTCTTTGAATTAATCTGATTTTTTTTGTGACAAATTAACCCTAGTAGCCGCTTTCAAATTATATGTCATAAGCCATTATTGGGTATATGTTTAAGAATCTACTTACTTTGGTTTTGAAATTTTCATTTTGCTTTGAAAATTTCATTCTCTGATAACTTGGAAAAGATGACAAATTCAATCATCTTGAATCGGTAGTTTCGTGAAATTGTAGCTGTATATATATGTATACAAGTATTCTCCTGCCCATTGTTTCTTGTATCAAGTAATTACATTATCCTGTACCTGTAAAGATGGCCATCCCAAACTCTGGAATGCTAATGTTATTTCTCTTCCTTTCTATCTCAGTTTGCTCTTCAACTCTGAATTCAACAAACGAAAGCTTTCTGCAATGCTTTTCATCTCATTTATTTCCTTCAAACATAAGTTCTGATGTTATCTTCAGCCAAAAAAGTTCTCAATATTTATCTATATTGCAATCTTCCATACGAAATTCAAGGTTTTTGAACGCTTCAAAACCGCAATACATAGTCACCCCCTACAACGAAGCTCACATCCAGGCAGCCGTAATCTGCTCCAGGGAACATCACATGCAAGTTAGAGTTCGAAGTGCAGGACATGACTATGAAGGCCTCTCCTACACATCTGATGTTCCATTTATAATTATAGATCTTTTCCCAATCCGGTCTATCACTGTAGACATAAAAAATGAGCATGCATGGGTTGGGGCAGGTGCAACTCTTGGCGAACTATACTACAACATTTCTGGCTTAAGTAATGTCCATGGATTCCCTGCGGGGAGTTGCCCCACTGTAGGTGTGGGGGGACACATCAGCGGAGGTGGATTTGGTACTATATTCAGAAAATATGGTTTAGCAGCTGACAATGTTATTGATGCCAAGATGGTTGACGTTAATGGAAATATTCTTGACAGAAAGTCCATGGGAGAAGATCTTTTTTGGGCCATCAGGGGAGGCGGAGGAGCGAGCTTTGGAGTTATTTTCTCCTGGAAAGTTAGATTGGTTCGTGTTCCTGCAACCGTTACTGTTTTCAGTATTGGAAAGACATTGGAACAAGGAGCAACCAAACTTCTCAACAAGTGGCAAACCGTTGCAGATAAACTTCCCCAAGACCTTTTCATCCATGCAGTTATAGGAGTAACTAGTGCAAATTCAAATGGAAATAAAACTGTCCAAGTTTCCTTTGATGGCTTGTTTCTTGGGACCGCTGAAAGACTCCTCTCTTCGATACAGAATAGTTTCCCTGAGCTGGGTGTAACTCGAGACAACTGCACTGAAATGAGTTGGATACAGTCTGTCCTTTATTTTGCTGGTTACTCAATCACGGAATCCGTAGACGTTTTGATTAACAGGACAACGCAATCTACGCAGCTGTTCAAAGCCAAATCGGACTATGTGAAGGAAGCAATTCCAGAAACAGGGCTAGAAGGACTATACAAAATGCTTGTGGAAGAAGAGAGTTTGCAGTTGATCCTGACACCCTACGGAGGAAGGATGAGCGAAATTGGGAGTTCAGAAACTCCTTTCCCTCATAGAAGTGGAAATCTATACGGGATCCAGTACATCCTTTATTGGGAAGCTCCAGAGGAAACAGAGAAGCACATAGGGTGGATGAGAAGGGTGTACAAGTACATGGAACCCCATGTCTCTAAATCTCCAAGGGCTGCGTATTTCAACTACAGGGATCTTGATTTGGGGAGGAACCGTAAGAGAAATACTAGCTATGCAGGAGCAAGAGTATGGGGCTTGAAATACTTCAAGAATAATTTCAACAGACTCGTTCGTGTAAAGACTTCAACTGATCCTCACAACTTCTTCTGGAATGAACAAAGCATTCCGGTACTACAGTGAAACAATGAATAGATTGCACTGTTTTGTGCCTTTCATTAAAATTACTTTACGACGATAAAAAGTGTTGTGTTGCTTTGTTTCAAATACAAAAACCCAAACTGAAAATGATTACAATTGCCTACTATCAATAAATTTGGGAACTTTCATTAATATGCATTTGCATATATGCAGTTTCTTATTTACTTTCGAATCTGCTTATTGCATGGGTTGTGCTAAGCTATATATTACGGGGCACAATTATCAGAATATGATCTTTACAGTATGGATGGAGGAGATATTTTAAATTGGTTAATGAATAAATTAATTAGGTCATTATTAATTAGTTAATCAATTAATTAGCAAGTTTTGTTAATAAGTAAATTTAATACTAAAATAAATAAATTAGAAATGCTCTAATTTACTCATTAGTGAGGGAAAAATAAATAAATAAAATATTGATAACGCTAATTAAATTATATATAAATCTTTGTTGATAACTCATTTGAATATTTGTCAGTCAAATATGCACAGGACACGCCAACTCTAAAAGCTTAATTCTTTCTTCCCATAACAATTTGGATAAAGACTTTGACTTTTTGGTTTTGGTAGGCAATTAGCCATTACGTGTGACAATGTACGTTTCAAAACCAAACTCCTAAAATTCTATCTCTTTAAAGGCTATTTCGTATCGTGAAAAGTCTGCAGTTTTTCGATTACGTACGTGATGGCTATGGACTAATTCCCCTTCCTAGATTTGACTTTACATCTCATGATAAAGGCACCAAAATTAATAGTAATTCACAGGAATATCTACTCTTGATTGTGATACAAGTTCAAAGGTGATGGGCTAACAGATCACCAGGGTCCAGGAGTGAGTCCAATGCAAGAAAATAGTATTAATAAATATAAATAATAGTTAAGTTAGTTCTTGAACAGGATCAGTTATGGGATTAGTTACATTAACATAAATAACAGTTAAATTAGTTATTGAACAGGATTGGTTATAGGATTAGTTACACATGATGATGCCTGTTATGATGTCATAGTTTGCTAGTGTTGTTTTTAAAAGGAGGAACAACGGTTGTATGACATCATTGAATGCAAGTCTTGAATATTCCTCAAATTTCTCAATCTTTTCTCGTTTTTCTCTTCTCTCACCATAGTTCGAGCTGGTATTTTGCTAATTTGATCCCGTAAATCCATTTAGCTCTTATCATTTTGGTGTCGGAGTTCTTTGATTTTGTCATGGCCGAGTGTATAACCGTGTAACTACCAGATTGCAGAAGAAGTTGGTGCAGTTACAGAAGGAAGTTGAAAAAATTGATACCAAGCTAGGGTCTAAGGCTGCTTAGATCAAGGAGCAGCTGAGAAATGAAATGTGGGTTGGATTGTAAAAGATGGAAGCTGAAATACATAAGATGTTTGATAGATGACAGCTAAGCTTGAAGACTAATCAAAAACTGTGGAGACAGCAGATTCAGGGGAGGCTATTTCTTCAGTGGATAAACAGAAGGCGATAATGGTGACCATTGGGGTGAAGCCTACCATATCTCAGCTTGATCTTATTACGTCAGCTGGAGCTCACACCAAGTACTCTAAGGTGGAGTGTCCACGCTTTGACAATAATGATTTTAGGGGCTGGTTGATGAAGATAGAGCAAATTTTTTGAAGCTGACCAGATTCAAGAAACAGACACACTTAGAGCGGTGATGGTGCATTAGGATGGAAAGGCTCTTCAGTGGCATCAGAAGTTCATGAAGAAGAGGGGTAAGCATTTTGAGGTTCTTTGGCATCATTACATTGTTGTAATGCGATCTCGTTTTGATGAAAACGAGTTTTTTATCCTATGTTTGAGGTGGTTAGTCTAAAACAGGCCGTTACAGTAGATGAGTATTATGATGAATTTGAGGGTTTACTGAATATGATACAACTTTCTAATGAGCACGCCTTTAGTATCTTTATCAGTAATCTGAACCCTGATATATCCAAGCCAATAAGAATGTTCTGTCCCCAAAACTTAAACCATGCTTATAGCCTCGGTAAGCAAATGGAATCACTAATCTTCAATCTGCCCTGAAAACCCTTTACACCCTATAAATCACCATTATTACCAGCACCTAAGACTTCTTTCCTGACCTATAATTCACCAACAAAACATCCAAACACTACTAGCACCAACAAGTTTCAACCCAATAAACCTGAAACCAATCAATCAAAACACAACAAAATGCCTACTAAGGAAGGAAAGCAGGACAGGAAGAAAAAAAGGCTGTGCTTGTGGTGTGGAACCAAATTTGTGGGGGGACATAGATGCACGAGCTCCCAACTATACCAGCTGTTGGTGAATGATGGAGTGGAATCTGCTACTGGATAAGAGGAATTTTCTGACCGTTTGGAATTTATTGAAGAACCTATATGCAACACCGAAGGGGCTGATAATGTAAGTATGTACTCCAATTTCATTACATGCTTTAATAGGAACAGCTGGACCACAAACCATGCGAATTCAGGGGAAGATAAAAAACTAGCTACTGGAAATTCTAGTTGACTCGGGAAGTACTCATAACTTCCTAGATCAATCTGTTGCCAAGGGAATGGGCTGCAAGATTTCACCAGTAAGTGGACTCAAGGTAACTGTGGCTAATGGAGATAACCCGATGGTTAAGCACATGTGTAAAGGAGTATAGTGGGAACCTCAAGGACTTCAGCAATGCACTAACTTTTTTTATTCTAACATTGATAGAGTGTCCCATAGTACTTGGAGTGCAAAGGCTACAATCTCCAGGATCATTGTATGGGATTTCATTAATCTCACTAGGCAGTTTGCATTGGCAAATGATTGGTATATTCTGCAGGGTTGGTGGTAGGCAAGGTGTAAGTATCAAATAGGAAGCAAGTGGCTAAGATGAACTTAGTCAGTAATGGTACTTGTTTGATGATGCTGACTTGAGTATAGATGCTAGCCAGCTGCAGAATCAACACGATGGCCAGCAGCATAATAGACTGCCGCAAGTACTTTAGTTATATACCGTTTATTGAAAAAACTTATTTAATTACCAGGAAAATTTAAGTAGTAAAAATATGTTATCATTAATAGTAGTTAGAAAAAGAATTGAATGTTGGAAAAATTAAAAGAATTTTAGGTAAGGTTGACGTCATGCATAAGTCACCCAGAAATATCTATAAAAAATAAAGAACTCAGTGTAGAATCTGGCGGAGACCCATCATTATTAACAAAAAAAAAAATTAAAGATAGAATCTGAGTTTAATTAAGCATGGGATTGGGAGCGAACGGGTTATGGATATAGTAATTTTATATGTATGAATGTATTGTCCGGGAGGTTCAAATGTGAAGTAAAGAATTTTATATTATTAAAAAATAAGATAAAAATATGATATATATACATGAAAGATCCAATAATTTAATAAATTAAATTTTTGGGTTCAAGTAGAATTTAATATGTATATGTTTCTTTTAGCGTGCTCTTATGTTCTTTAAATGTGGCTAATCTCCCAATAATTAATATTAAAGCTAAAGGTTCATTATGATACATATTTTGAAAAAACCCTAAAAGAAGATGTACTGAGACAATATGTAATTGAGTGTCAGTTTAAAAGGAAATGAGACAATGTACACCCCGAAAGAGGCAAGATTAAGTGTTGGGCCTGAGAGATATCGAGACAATTTAGACTTACAGATAAGCAAAGTTGAGTGTTGATTGGGGCAAAAGGTACACTGAACAATTCGAATGCACAAGAAATGTAAAGTTATTTGAATTAAAGGTGGTGTGTTAATAGATTTATTCGCATAAAGAGCTGATTAGGACTCACAAATGAACTTGTACAGGGGAGTTGATTAAAGTTCACGAATGAATGAAAAAATCATCGAAAAAAATCATATGAGTAAAAAAATCTCAAATCATTAAAAAAAATAAATAAAAATGTAACTTATATATATATATGAAGGATTAAAAAATCTAATAATTTAAACTTTTAATTTCAAATGATTTACATCATGTACATATAAACTCTTTCTATTATTCTTTTTGTTATACTGTTATGGACTCTAAGTGTAACTTATCTACGAATTTATATGCATGGGAAGAAAGTTGTGTGGAAATTGAGAAATGAGAATGACTTGGGAGCAAAGAGGGCAGAAATGATATTCCATCACTCATTATCAACAACTAAAAAATTACTAAATTAATTGCCTCATTTCTTTTCTTTCTTTTCATAAACGCTACGCCCTGAGTTATCAATTTATCTATCAATCCAGAACGTGTAAAGCTAATAAAAAATTCATTCACAAATTCAATAATGAGAAATGAATTGAGGTCCCAGAATCAGCATCATCATCATCTTTAATTTTTTTAATTTCCTTTCATTGGCTTTTATACGTAAGAATAAAAATGTTGGCATTATCTAGATAATTTTCACTTTTACTCTTTTTACAACAGCCTTTCATCGTGATTTAATATATATACGCCAATATACCATTTTCTCTTTTTTTTTTTGTTTTTCCTTTTTAAATAGAATGTCTGCGATGATCCAGGATTTAAATGCTATATATATGTGTCGTAACGTCTAGATCCGGGGATCTATCGCTAGACATTGACTTTTAGGGAGTCGCCACCAATTTTTTTTTATTTAGGTGCGATTGGCCACCTATGGAATCTGTCCTTTTAGAGAACACCTAAGTTTAAGGGTCCCTAGAAGAATGGTTCAGGTCTACAAACCAGAACAGGGTTCGGAAGTTCGGTTACGTGTGAGGAAGGTTATAGCACCCTCACAACGCCCATCAAAAGATGGTACCAGCTTAAATTTGTGTTATCCAAAAGCCTTAAAATTTTACTAAGTAATTAATTATTGAAAATTATTCTCAATTGACTCTAATACTTTTAGCAAAAAATTGAGAAAATTCCCTTACCTCAAGAGTATGCAAGAAAAACTACTGTTTCACTTACAGAGGCTCCGTCGTCGGCTTATTTTAAAAAAAAAAACAAAATCAAAATTAAGATAGAAAGGAAGGAAAGAATTGATTGTTTTTGTGTAGGAAAAATTGATACTTTCAACTTTTCTCCAAAAATATTTTTTGAAAATTTCGATTTTCAAGGAAAATTGATACTTTCAACTTTTCCTCAAAAACTCTTTTTTTGAAAATTTATTTCTAAGGAAAATTGATACTTTCAACTTTT